CGCACTTGTTGGGACCTGCGCACTTGACCTGTATCGTTTTGTTCGGGCAGTGACTTAGCCAGCCTACCCAGGAGAAGGAGCAAGACAACTTCCGAACTGGCAACTGTGCCGAAAATGCGCATCGCCGCCTTTTGGCAGGTCCTTGAAGATCCTCGGATAGCGTCGATGGTCATGAACAGAGGTCCGCCCATCACATCTCGACGTCTTGCCCACGCCATGCCGTCAATGGGTATGTTCTTTACGCTCCCACGACGCTGTAGGCTTCGGCCTTCTTGGCTCAGAGCTGCCAATGCCGTTGGTAAGCTGTGTTTCCACAGGACCGCAAAGCGGATCAGGTTCTCGGCAGTGCGAAGTTCATCATGGCCGGCGCCGTGTATCCCGATGACGTCGCTTCCACGCATAACTGAGCCAAGGGCAGCTTTTACAGTACTAGCGGATTGGTCAAGCCCATCCACTTGCCAGAGTAGTTGCACAGCTTCGACCTGATGTTTTGCGTTTATGGGCGATAGTTGATCCCAAAGGCTTGCCACGATGCGATAGATCAGCTTATCAGTTCCAAGGGACTCCAGCTCTTCCTTGCAATGCTGGGAGCTTGACAACTGGACCAGTAGGTCTACGATCGAGTTCGTCACCTCGAATGAGCTGTCACTGACAGCCCTGGCGTGACATGCCTCCACTACTGTGTTGAGAGAGTCAGCGGTCCATGCTGGGAAGGCTTTGTGCAATGCAATCAAGATATCGGACGCCTCGCTGAAAGCTGCACAGCTTGCGTGACCATGATCGAATACCGCAAAGGCATTCTGCAGCAGCTCTGCCGTGATGCAGGCCCGATCGATAGGTGGGTGTTCGTCAAGAGGCGGGATGTGGTCATTTTGGTAGTATGCGCGAATGACAGTCCGTACGTCTTGTCCAGTCGTCGGTTTAGGTGTCTTCGTTTTATCATCATCTTCGCCACCCAAGGACTCAGCGGGCAGCAGTCTTAGTAGCAGCAGTATCGCCTTTGCATACAACTTTCGTTGGTTCTGAACCGCTGGATCCGTATATTTCATCTCAGCAAGCAGGAACACCCCCGTGACTGGAACGTGTACGGCGATCATCTCTTCTTCCGCGACGTTGAAGGATTGTAGGATCCAGAGGAACAGTTGGAGGTCCTCGCAAACGGCCGCGATCGACCTCTTTGTATCACCTAGAAGTCTGAACAGCTGACCCCATATGACTCGACTCTCTACGCCATCGAAGAAGGTGCGAGCGCTCTTCATGACCTCCGTCACGTTTGCTGCGGACTTGTCTTTACTAATGTCGTAAGCGCGACGCATCGCACGTAGAAATACTTCAGGTATCAAAGTATCTCCTATCTCCCATCTATCCATGAGTGCGTGACAAACGCGGAATGGGCGTGTCGGATCCGCGGCCTCTGTCGCATCGCTACTCAAGGCGCTCAGTATGCAGCGACGTAACGCAGGGAGTCCGTTGAGATCGAAGTAGTCTTGCTTCTTCGAGGCCTGGAATCCTGCGGACTCGCGGCGGACCAGGTTCGGAGACGCAGATCCGTCGGCCTTCGAGTCTGATCCCAGCAGCCAGGTCCAGAGGCGTCTGTTCAGCGACATATCTCGACGCAAGGCGATTCCAGTGGCGGCCATCATCAGTCTGTCGATCTCTCTCGATGCCACGCGGGCTTGAAGAACTGGGGAATTGAGTGGTAGGTGTGAGACGAGTAGGTCTAGAAATCCTCGTTGTACCAGTGCCTGAGAGTCTGAAAGTCCCGTCGCAAATCCGCGCACTAGCAATCCAGGTTCTGGCGCGATAGCAGATTCAGCCTCTGCACTCAAGGCATCACTGCCTGGCGATGTTGTGGGAAGTCCTGAAAACGAAGGCAGTTGGCGAACGAGGTAATTCAGTGCGCCCTGACGGCGCGATGCGCCGGTAAGTATGGCGAGGAACATGCATTGCCAGAAGAAGCCAGTATCCTCGCGTGTAGCTGAAGACCTCGGGGAGTGGCTCGCCGGTCCAAGCTCCAGGGTTTGCATGATGTCGAAAGCTCTCTCGAAGTCCTCACTGGTCTCCTCCTCCAGCGCCGGCAACATACTGAGTATGAGACTTTTCATCGCGGGCCGTTTTACATCATGAGACAGAACTACAATATACTTCTCCAGGATTCCGTACAAGGCAGGCCTAACGGACAGCGAGGCGAAGGACAACACCGTAGAAAGACCTGAAAGGTAGTCGGACAGATATTCGGCAACATGTGGCGTGCCAAATGTCTCGAAGATGTAGCCATAGATCTCAAGTGCTTTCTGATGCACCCCAGACGGCAGCGCTGGACTGAGGCATTGAGCAAGCCTCAAAGCCACAACATCAATATGCGGAAGCGCGGTAGCATCTTTGTCATGACTCTGTACGGCCTTCAGTAGACGGCCGAGGAAAGCGATGTAGTCGGCCCATTCTTCAGGTGCCGCTTCCCACGTGCTGAGCGCGCGCGCAATGCTTGCCGCATAGCGGCGAGTGATTTTGTCGGACTTCCATGATACTGAGGACTGTCAGTAGAAATCAAGAAATGTACCAGTGGGTGTACCTACATACCGTCCTCCGCCGTCCGTCGCGCCAAATAAGGGACTGGTGAGGAGGCCCGTGAGCTCCCTGGAGACGTTGTCTGTCGTCCGTTCGAAGCGATGATGCTCATGGCCATCCAGTCTCAACACGATAGCGCTGGTACGTGTTGGACATTATACCACGTGAAAGGTGGTTTTGATGATTGTGAGAGCGGACGAGAGCCACCTTGCATTCGATATGTAGTCAGACGCTAGCGCCGGCCCCAGCCGCAGCTAGTTGATTGCATCGCTACAGTATCTCGCAAATCAACTCATGCACTTCCTGATGGGCGAAGATATGACCAAGCCAGTGAACACCAACAGCTCGGCCACTCAATAGAACGCGTCGTTCGTATGCCGCCGATAATTCATGCCGCATGACGAGGTTGACGGAGGCGATGGACCTAACCTGAAGTCTCCCAATGGCTCGCCACATCCGCCTCATCAACCCGCATTCGAGGTTGAGCAGATGGCCGCGCCGATGGGGGTCGTTGTGGACGCAGAGAGTGGTAATGTTGAAGTCGCCTCCCGAGAATCGACTCCGCCTCCGCTTCCGCCGCGCCCTGCCCAGCTTCAGCTGCTGGACGAGCGCTCATCTCCCTCGAGCACCAACCTCGCTAAGCGGACATCGAGGCCACAATTACTCTCACAAGCTACGACAGCCGTCTCTCTGACAGAAGTTCAGCTTCAAAGCCGCAGCGGAGATGGCACGACTGCACATTCTTCGCCTGCAAGTCGAGCAGCATCGCGAAGGAGGAGCTTCACTCGCGTCGTCACTGGAAGCTACATGGATGATGCAATGAGTATTCGAAGTTCTGTGCCAACGCTCAATGTACCCTACGACCAGGTCAGCATATTCGGTGATGAGGCTTCACCCGCGTGGCAAGCCTTAAGTGCTCAGATCGAGCACGGAGATCCATTTGATGCTGCAGAAGTGTACTCAGATCCTGTTGTCGACCAGATAGAGCACGAATTTGACGAACTTGAGAAGCGAGAGTCAAATGGATCAAATGAGACTTCTTTGCGTGAGCAATGGTCCTCCAAGCTGAAGCATTTCTTCATACTATCTGGGTCAGGCAAGCCGGTCTACAGTCGTCACGGAGATGATCAACTGATCAGTCACTACATTGGTGTTGCACTGACATTGATCTCTTTCTACCAAGGAGCCAATGACTCGCTCAAGAGCTTCATGGCAGCTGATACCCGCTTTGTGATCTTGCAGAAGGGACCACTCAACCTTATTGCTGTGAGCAAGCTCGGGGAGAGCGAAATGCAATTGCGCAACCAGCTCGAGTCACTGTATATGCAGATACTGTCCACGCTCACCCTGCCGAGTCTCGAGCGCATCTTCTCCAACAGACCTTCCACCGATCTGAGACGGCCTCTGCAAGGCACGGACGTCCTTCTCGACGGGCTGACCGATGGATTCACACGTGGTTCGCCGTCCACTCTGCTTTCGTCTCTTGAATGTCTTCGCCTTCGCAAGACGCATCGACGTGCTATCAATGAGACACTTCTGAAAGTGCGATCACCTGACTTACTCTATGGACTCATCGTTGCTGCTGGCCGGCTTGTTAGCGTGGTGCGTCCCAAGAAGCATTCGCTCCACCCTGGCGATCTGCATCTGATCTTCAATATGCTTTTCGAAGCTGGAAGCGTCAAGACTGGCGGGGGTGAGAACTGGATCCCACTTTGCCTTCCCGGCTTCAATAACACAGGCTTCGTATACATGCACGTCAGCTTTCTGTCTGCCACGCCGGCTTCTGTTCAGGAGTCGACACAAACAGCTCAGCCGGCCTCGGACGACCTAGCAATCGTGTTGATTTCGCCCAACAAAGACTCTTTCTACTCTCTTCGCAAGATGCGAGACGCACTGCTGAAGGCCCTCGAGTCTTCTACGCTACTGTCAACATTGTCAAAGGCTATACAGGCTGGCCATCTTGGCATTGCCGACATTGCTGGTGCTACAACACCGCTCCGCCACTTCCTGTACAAGTCCAGAGGTAACGTACAGTTTACGATGCCTTCGTTGGTCCCGCATTACCGTCACGCTGTTGCTCGACGACGCTTGATGAGTCTGTACGGCGCATTGCACGAGGCCTTGCACGTTAAGACCGCGCGGCTTAAGGTGCATCATCTGGTGTCCAGTCACGCCACAGCTCTAGCGTGGGAGACGCCCTTGTTTGAGCTCTACTGCGTGGCTGGTCCGGGTACGTCGAGAGCAGCTCTTGCGGCAGGGGCGAACGTTGTTGTTCAGTGGGTGCGAAGGGAAGAGGAAAGGGTATTTATCATTGGCGGCGCTGTCTTCTGAGTGTAGTACACCCACTATCCCACCCATTCTAGCTTTAGTCCCTTCTCACACCTTCTATCAAACACGGACCCGAACCTGGGAAAAGTACAAAACATGGATCGCGCTGCGAACAGGATTCGAACCTGCGCGCCCGAAGGCATCAGATGTCAATCCCCAGTGAGGGATTCAAGTCTGACTCGTTAACCACTCCGACATCGCAGCCACCACTGTCTCTCAAAGAGAGATTAGTAAGCGCGAGGTATAACAATATATATACTACTTCCATCGTCTGGATTAAACACGCTATCTTCTCGTGATATTCTGGCGCACGGGAGAGAAGTCACATGGCACGTCGCACACCCTGCTGCGGCGTCCAGTTTGCTATGGGAACCTGCACTCTCGCGAAGCTCGAGAACCACGAAATACCCATGGCCAGGGCCTAGACTTCGCACCTCGCTCACGCGGCTGCGAAGCCCGCCTCGTGCTCTCGGTGTCATTGCGGCGACCTTGCCTGTTCCTGTCTAGAGCTCAGCCTCTGCTCGACGATTTGAATCGGTCCGAGAGAAAACATGGAGATCTTCCCCAGTTTGCGGGGAAGATATGACCTCATCTGACACTTTCCATAGCAATTCCATGCAGGACGACCACAAATCCGATGGTGAAGCGGGGCCGACACGCAAGAGCTAGTAGAAGTATGCGAGATGCATGCTCGAACTGTCACGCGAACGGCAGGCTTTGGCGACGGCGGCGATGAGCATAAAGCGGCATGGTTTCGTCGTGCAGGCTCATCTGACCTCTCCAGCTAAGTGTTTTACCCACTGACCTCTTCCGTGTCACGATTATTCTAGCATTATGAAAAGTGTTGTATCAACGCTACTGACAGTGCTGCCACTGGCTCTGGCCCATGCCGGACCCAGTGGCGGACATCATAATGGTGGTTGGAATGGTGGGGGCTGGTACAGCGGAGGATGGAACGGTGGAGGCTCCAACGGCGGAGCCTCAAACGGTGGGGGCTCCAACAATGGAGGCTCCAGCAACGGAGGCTCAAAAGGGGGCAATCAGGGCTCTGGTGGTAATAGCCAGAGTTGCACCTCCTTGACTGCAGATGAGATCAGAGCGAGCGGCAACAACTCCCTGTTCACTCGGTGGAGGCCCTACAGCCACGTCAATGCTCCTGCTGGTTGGCTCAACGACCCTTGTGCACCGATGTATGATCCGACAAGGGACGAATACCATATCTTCTACCAATGGTAAGTGGACAGATACTGCGTCCTCTCTCGGGTGGCCTAGCTAACATCGTTGTCAGGCATCCGCAACACATCAATTGGGGTATGTCAATTGGAGGCAGCCGGGCAGTGGGCTGTGGAGCTGACATGGAGCAGGTAACATCTCATGGGGCCACGCAACATCGAAGGACATGATCAGCTGGACCGATCACGGTGGCTGGCAAGATCACCAAGCCCTCGCACTTGGTCCGTCTGGGAACGGTTCCTACAATGGGTTAGGCATATTCTCAGGCACCGGTCAGCCCGTCAACATCCACGGCCAGAAAGACGGCACTCTGCTGCTCTTCTACACGTCCGTCAGCTGGCTGCCAATTGGATGGAGCATCCCCTACCATCCGGGATCCGAGACCCAGTCGTTGGCCTACTCGACAGATGGTGGCAACACCTGGCAGGAGTACGCAGGTAACCCAGTCATCTCTGCAACCACCGAAACTGCGCCGATGTACTGGAACATCACTGGCTTCCGCGATCCGTTCTTCGAGCCCTCACCGCATCTGGACGCACTGCTAGGCCAGTCCGAGCCGCATTACTACGCAGTCTTTGGCTCAGGAATCAAGGGTGTAGGCCCACGCATTCCGCTCTGGAGCGCACCTGCAAGTGATCTTACCGACTGGACTTTCCTGGGTGCTCTATGGGAGCCGCAGGCCAATACCTCTTTCGGCCCACTGTTGTCAACAGGTGAGTGCATCTGTCTTTGCAATGTAAAGTGTTTAAAGTGGACTGACCGCATCCTCGCATAGGCACATACGCCTTCAACTTTGAAGTGTCGGGCTTCTTCTCGCTTACAGACAGCAAGGGCGATGTCCACTTTTACGCAAACATGGGCACGGAGGGTGGTAACGTCTCCTTCCATGAGTCGAACCACTGGGCGCTGTGGAATGAGGGCGTCGTGACGCGGGGCACCAATGGTAGCGCACAATTCCACCCTGTCGCAGGCGGCGCAGGCGACTGGGGCAACGGCTACGCCATCACAAGCTTCAATGACACCAAGAACAACAGGCGGATCCAATGGGTCTGGGCTCCCGAAGATCTCGTCGGAGATGGCGGCCTGTTCTCTGCGAAGCAGCAAGGGTTTCAAGGCTCACTTACAATCCCGCGTGAGCTGTTCGTGCACGAAGCTGACGGCCTCCTCAACCCGAACGGCACACTCGAGAACGGCAATTCGGTCGTGACTCAGCACTCCGACGGCACGTACTCGGCCTCGACTCTTGGTGTAATGCCCGCCAGGGATGTCACCGACGGTCTTCGCTTGGGAGCAAAGTACACGAAGATCAGCAAGACGACCTACACTTCGAACCAGATTTTGCAAAAGCAGTCTGCAGCATCCTATGAGGTTAGAGCTGTGGTCTCGTCGGCCACGGGTCCTGTTGGTCTGGTCATAGGCGCGTCACCGGATGGCGTCGAGTACACCAACGTAATCTATGAGCCTTCCAACAACACCATCCTCGTCGAGCGCCTGCACAGCAGCACCATCGTCGAGTTCGCCAATGTCACTGTGACCGGCTTCTTTGCACCATACACCCTCGCCGAAACAGGCAAAGCCGAAGCCATCACTATGGACGTCTTCGTCGATGGGTCGCTGGTCGAGGTCTTCGTGAACGAGCGCTTTGCGTTGTCGACTAGGATCTACCCTTCGAAGCTCTGCAGCACTGGGTTCGGCGTTTACGTTGGCGCTGGCTCGAGTGCGACGTTTTCGAACTTCGAGGCCTGGGTCGGGTTGGCGAATGTTTGGCCCGAGAGACCGGCGAACAGCAGCTCGCCGCTGGTGTGGGACACCACGGCGGCGACTAATAACTACACTTGGTGGTCTGGCAACTAAGCGCAAGGAGTGAGGGGGTGAGCGTACGAGTTGATAAGATGATGATACTGTGCATATGAGTGAGATAAGATCGGTCGCAGAAATGCAAGCGTGGCGGTCGTACCTTCTCCCATATCGCTTCGTAGACACCAAGTATGCGCAATACCGACCACTTGGAGCTGCAAGTTCCTCTGCGTGCTGGCCAGACCATCGCCAAGTGGAACATCGGCACGCTAGAGCAGATCGTGGCGATCTATTGGCCCGTGACGCGTGCCGATAACCAAGTTCCTTCGTGAGAGTTTCTGAGGTGGCACCTAGCCGAGGACAGCGCCGTTTCTGTCGTCATAGCTCGGTGTTTGGACGAGGAGGTAAGGGTTGTTTATGATTGTCCGACGAGTTTCCCTTGTAGAACTTATCACATCGTCTATCATCGCGTAACCAAACACTCTCCAGGCAACCCCCAGACTACCCCGCAAACAGTACAAACATGTCTTCCGGAGAGCGCCAAAGACTCGGCAACAGCCTGTCCAAAGATGGTGACCGCATCGCCGACAGCTTGAGGGAGAAGCGAGACGTCGCGGCCGACGCGGCTGAGGACGCGAAGGAAAACGTCAAGGAGGGCGCCGACAAGGTCGCACAGAAGGCTGAGGAGACCAAGGAGCAAGCAAAGGCCGACGCTGAGAAGGCAAAGGAGAAGACCAAGGAGGCTGCGGAGGAGGCCAAGGAGAAGGCTGTGGAGGTCAAGGATAACATTGTGCAGCGATTGAGGGAGGATGGCGTGTATGTCACGCAATTTCTGATGACAAAGGTGATGGATGTTTACTGATCATGGTGCAGTGTCAACCCTGCGGGCCTGCAGATGGCGGCCTTCGGCGGCGTGTTCTTGGCTGCAATTCCATTGACCTCGTGGATCTCATCGCCAGGTGGCGTTCTGGAAAAGGCCGTCAATGGCGTCTGCCACTCCGTTGTCTACTTGGGCACTGCTGGCCGGACTAGCGCGATCGCGCAGACCAGCAAGATTGCTGCTCTCAGCACGCTTTATGTCGCCATGACGTAAGATCCTATCAATACACCCGGCATCACACGCGAGACAAGACTAACACGTTTCCCAGCTACGCCATCTCCGGCGCTGGTAGCGCTGCCGGTCTCGCCGCAGGTAACGAGGAGGGCCGCGACAACAAGGAGCCCCGCAAGCAAGTCGCTAACCTCCGCGGCTTGCCTCTCCGCCTCCACAGCGCCCACTACAACATGATGGAGATGTTCCCCGGCTTCGCTATCGGCGCCGCTCTGTCGGCTGCCCTCGCGCCTACTGACCAGGGCTTGGTCAACTTGCTCGGTCTGCACGTCCTGGCGAAGGTGTTCGTCCACTACCCGGCGTACCTCCTCGGCTATGACCAGCCCAGAACGCTGGCGCATATTATTGCGACGGCGAGTGTCATCAATGTCTCGTTGAGGCTGGCGAAGAGGGGCTTGTTGGTGTAGAATCGATTAGTCGAACAGTGTGGAAACTCGGAGGAGACAGTCATGTAAGATCCGGTACTTATTGCTGCAGAATGCCACTTATCCCCAAACTGGTGTAAATAGCACTGGTGAATGTACTGCAAGGTTCAAGACACTGTCGTTTCACTGCATTCGAGGTCGAGTCCTCGCTGCCACGTCCACTTGGCGATCGCATCGCTGACCATTTCTGGTAGCGGTAGCGAATAAATGTTTGTGGTCATGGTATGGTATTGAATCCAATTGACAGGGGTATGCTAGGTCCACCAAATGAAGAAGGTCGGGGAGCAAGATCTCAATTACAGACTATCCTGCGCGACGAACAGCCCTAAGTGAGACGAGGGAAGGCCTTGTACCCCTGGTCTTTCACGAACGTGGCTAACGCAGGCGCATTCACCTTGCCATCGATCAGTTCTTCGATAAACTCAGCATGAGCAGGTCCATCTACGCCCTTCAGCATGGGATCTCCTTGTTCGGTCCGCTGGTCAATGTAGTAGAAGCTATGATAATACTCTCAGCGAAGTCCAAATCTGGCAGCATTCCCTAACTTACCGCGAGTCTTTCTCATTGGCGGCTGCGGCGTTTGCAGCACTGCTGATCAGGTATGCAGCTGCACTCTTGCCGGTTCCCAGCGTCAGGAG